TAAAAAGTTTTACTCTACAAAAGATCCTGTTAAAATGAGGCTGAAAACACAAGATACAGTCTGAGAGAAAATATTTACAAACCACCCATCCAATACAGCTTTAGCATCCAGGATATATAAGGAACTTTGAAAACAAAACAGTATAAAGTACCCAAAGAACACAATTATAAAATGGGCAAAAGACATGAGCAAATATTTCACCAAAGAGGATGTACACATGGCAATAAACACATGGAAAGATGGTCTACATCATTAGCCATTAGGGAAATGCAAATCAAAACCATGATGAGATATTGCTATACTCCTACCAGAATGACCGAAATAAAAATAGTGACAACAAATGCTGGTGATGATGCAGAGAAACTGCATCCATCATACCTTGCTGATGGAGAACAAAATGGTGCAGCCACTCTGGAAAACAGATTGGCAGTTTGTTACAAAACTGAACATGCAACTACCATATGACCCATACATTCCTGGGCATTTGTCCAGAGAAGTGAAAATTTATTTTCACCCAGAGCTTGCACATGAACACTCAGTACAACTTTATTCATAATAGTCGAACACCAAGCCATCCAGAAGTCCTTCAATGGGGTAATGGTCAAACAAACTGTGGTACATATATACCATGGAATACTACTTAGCAATAAAGAGACGTGAACTATTGATATCTATAACGATGGCCTGGATGAATCTAGAGGGAGTAATGCTGAGTGAGAAAAGCCAATCTCCAATCTCACATACTATATGATTCAATTGATATAATATTCTTGAAATGACAACAGTATGGAGATGGAGAAGAGATGAACAGTTACCAGGGGCTAGAGAGGGGGTGGAGGTAAGAGGTAAGTACATGTGTCCATAAACGGGCAACGTGAAAGATTCTTGACATGATGTAAATGTTCTGTGTCCATGTCAATATCCCAGTCATGATATGATACTACTACAGTTTTAAAATATATTACCAGTAGGGGGAGCTGGTTAAAGGGTACACAGGATCTCTTTTTATTATTTCTTAGGACTGCATATGACTCTACAATTATCTCAAAATTAAACGTCTAACTTAAAAAATATCTGCAGTTTATTGCCTGTATTGGGAGTGAACTTTTCCCATTGCCCCTCCTTTGGGAGGCCACTACTCTACTTCAAGTTTCTTAACAAGAAAGTGGCCTTATTGGTGTTAGACTTGGGTGTCCAATCATCATTATTTTAGATATACTTGTCTGCCTTTTTGGGGTGCCAGTGCCACCCACACATGTCACTCCATAAAGCTCTATACCTTGACATCCAGCCCTCCTCCCCCAAAACACACAGAGACAGAAAAACACACACCATGTCTTTTCCTCCTTCGCAATGGGATAAAAAATAATTTTTGTTGTTGTTTGTCTTCCGAGCTTAGACTTCACCCAGTCCTTATCCTTCTTATCTGGCTAAGTGTGGACCTTCTGGTCTGATCTCCCCACCCCGCAGGGCCTTACCTTCCTCCCTTCTCACACACCTGCCTCTTCCCTTCCCTCCTTCCTCCCCACATTCACAGAACTCACAAAGACACACACCAGAGGTCTTTTCACCGCTCGTTGATTTTATTTTAAACATCAGTAATGCTGTACCCCAGAGGTGTAAGATTTGGCCTCTACATCATTGGTCATTTCTCAGTGGCCAGGCCTCAGAGACTGGGCAGACAGTTGTGAGGTCTCTGGCCTCACTACGAAGTAACAGATGGCCCAGGCAGTCACTTGCAGTGGTGGATTTTTCCATGCCATCTTGCTCCTGCTTGCTCATTTTGATTCAGTTCCTCACTCGGCCTATGATAATGGTGATACACTGTTGGCCTGCTAGCTTTCTTAGGTTTTTGTGAAGAGGTGGGACTTTTGGGAGAGGCTTTTCTTCTTGAATTCCTTTGAAGGTGGCTTTTTACCCCCCACGGTCACCTTGGGCACTTGGAAGGACAACAGAGTTGAGCACAGAAGTATGTAGGTTTGGGGAAAGAGAATGGGGACGGATGGGATGAGAACAAGGGCTTCCCGAGGAGCAGAGGCTGAGGAGGGGGTCTGCCGAGCACGGGCGGGGTAAGAGTCTTCAGGGGCTGTTGGTGGAGAAGAGGAGGGGAGCTGAGGTGTGCGCATCTCACCTTGGCACTACCTCTGGACCAGGGCTGGCAGAGCCTCTTCCTCTTTTCCTCCTTTTGGTGCTTGGAGTAATTTGGTCCATAACTGCCGTAGGGGCTTGTGGTTTCCGGGCCACCGATTCCATGGCAGCACCTCCCAGTGGACTACCCCAGGCTTGAAGAGCTGCCTGAATATAGCCCTCTCTAGGACAGTGAGGGGGCACACTCTTCACCTTTCATTGGTCAGCGGGGCACCCCCTCAAACAGTCAGTGGTAGTCCTAGAGATGGCCTAGACATAACAAAGCACCATCCTGGTACCTGCATGGCAGCCGGGCAGAGAGGGGAGAAGGCCAAGACACTTTGGTTGGAGAGAGGGGACAGCTCTTTAGCACCCATCAAGAGCCTTTGTACACTGGTCCCTGCTCTTTATCCCATGTTCAGTTTTGATGGCTACGTGGCAGGGAGAATGTGTTTCCACAAGCCTTCCCCCGAGCCCATCCATTTCACTATTACTTTGTTTTCTTCCACCCTTCACCATTAACTGGTATTTGTATGTATTACCTAAAATCCCTCCAAGGTAATGGGGTCGCATGTAAGTCCTGTGGAGATCTGAATCATTCCATTTCCCTCCAAAAATTTCTCTTATGCAGTCTGAAAACCACTCCTTGGCTACTACTAGAGAAATTTTTCATCCCACATCTTTTTCCCGGTGGTCCCAGAGCACTCCACAGCTTGCTGTTTTCAAGCTGTCTTCAGGTTGTCATTAGTGAATAGATTTGCTCAACTCAGTATCTCGGTGTGGTTTCAAATCCGGGGGTCGTTTTCACCTCAGTAGGTATAATGGCCCAAATTGGGTTTTAAAAATGTCAGGTGAAATGAGGAAGGTATTTAAATTCCAAAAGCTGGGCTTGATGTTTGAGTGTAGAGACTGTATCCTCCAGGCCCCACACCTCCTCAGGGACCTCAGGAGTCACAGCCTGGCCTGCTAGCCCACAGCAGGTGTCTGCAGGCCAGGCGCCGGCTCCACCTACCCCACCTCACTACTAGCCCTCTCCACCGCCCCTTCAGCCCCCCAGCTCCCAACCCGTGCCCCGACACCCACCCCCAACTCCCCTCACCCACTGAACTCCCCATCCCCACAACCCTCCCTCT